GAATTTCGCGCAAAGCTACACGAGAGCTATCTGCGCTAGCCGTCCCTAATTTAGCAGTGTAAGACTAGAGGGAAGGCAGCTAGTCATCACCACCCACCGCCAACTCTTGGGCTACTCTTTTACCAACGAATAGTGGGATTGACCGTCACTTTATAACGCCCCCACGGCTGAAAAAGCAAGCATGTTTAGTGTGATGGGGATTCGAACCCGCGACCCACAGATTGCGAGTCGAGCGCCCTAACCACCTAGCCATGCCGGGCTTTTACGAAGGAAGATACAACTAGTATGCCTCAACCAGAACACTTAATGTATGGGAAAATTGATGTAAAATATATCATTTTGAGTTCTGAAACTGTAAGAGTAAAGTTAGGAAACCTAAAAATTGATAAATACCCTGGACCAAACAACTTTTATCCTAGAGTTTTAAAGAAACTTGAAGATTATATTTGTAAACCGCTAGCTAACATTTTTTATAGGTCATTGAGTAGTGGAAGAGTATTAGAAGATTTGAAGTTGGCTAATGTTGGTTCAATATTTAAAGGAGGTGATAAAACATTGTCCAGGTAATTATAGGCCAAGTTAGTCTTACAACATTAGTTGGAAAGGTTTTGGAGTGTGATTAAAGATGTATTGTAGAGTCACTTAAAGCAGGTTGATATAGTGTCAAAGAGCCATCATGGCTTTACTGAGGGAAAATCTTGTTTAACAAATCTTCTGACATTTTTTGAGGATGTTACTGCAAGAGTTGAAGAAGGAAATTCTGTGGATTTCGTTTACTTTGATTTTCAGAGTTTGATAAGGTGCCTCACAAAAGACTTGTTACAAAAATTATATTTGTGGGTGTGGGGAAATGTACAGAGAGTAGTAATAAATGGAGTTAGATTTGACTGGATCACAGTTACAAGCAGTGTGCCTCAGGGCTCTGTGCTGGGTCCTCTGCTGTTTGTGATTCATATTAATGTGAAGTTTGCAGCTGACATTAAGAATTTTCGAGTGTATAACTGTATCAAAGATGCTGCAGACTTGCAGGGAATTTTAGATCATTTGATGCATTGGGCCAATATGAGGCAGATGATGCTTAACTTCCAAAAT